TTTTGCTAGAAAATTGCTTAGAACCCCAAACATTATAGATATAGTATATGTATATATATTTTTTTTTTTTTCTTTTTACACATTTACACACCGTGGGGAAAATAATTACTTCATCCCATGCGGATTTTGTAAGTTTGCCCGCATACAAAGAAATGAAGGGTCTATAATTTTTATCATAGGTATATCTTAAATGATTAACACAGAATTTCAACCAAAAATCTAGAAAAAAAAAACACATGATACAAATGTTATAGATTGAGTTGCAGTTCATTGAGTAAAATAAGTATTTGATCCCCAAGCAAAACATGACTTAGTACTTGGTGGAAAAACCCTTGTTGGCAAGCACAGAGGTAAGATATTTCTTGTAGATTGTTACCAGGTTTGCACACATCTCAGGAGGGATTTTGGTCCACTCTTTTTTACAGATCTTCTCTAAATCCTTAAGGTTTCTTGGTTGTCGCTTGGCAAACTCAAGGTTTCAGCTCCCTCCATAAATTTTCTATAGGATTAAGGTCTGGAGACTGGCTAGGCCACTCCATGACCTTAATGTGTTTCTTGTTGAACCACTCCTTTGTTGCCTTGGTGATATGTTTTGGGTCATTGTCATGCTGAAAGACCCACCCACGACCCATCTTCAGTGTTCTGACTGAGGGAAGAAGGTTCTCATCCAAGATTTTACAATACATGGCCCTGTTCATTGGCCCCTCAGTGCGGCAAAGTCGGCCTGTACACTTAGCAGAGAAACAAAACTGAAGCATAATGTTTCCACCTCCATGCTTGACTGTAGGGTCATAGTCAGCATTTTTCTTCCTCCAAACACAGCGAGTTGAGTTAATGCCAAAGAGCTCGATTTTGGTCTCATCTGACCACAGCACTTTCTCCCAATCCTTCTCTGAATCATTTTAAATGTTCATTGGCAAAATTCATATGGGCCTGTACATGTGCCTTCTTGAGGAGGAGAAAATTGCGGGCACTGCAGGATTTCAGTCTGTAGTGGCGTATTTTGTTATCAACGGTTTGTTTGGTGACTGTGGTCCCAAAAACCATGGGATCATGCAGAAACTCTTCCTGTGTAGTTCTGGGCTGATCCCTCACTTTTCTCATGATCATTCTTATCCCATGAGGCCAAATTTTTCATGAAGCTCCAGACCGAGGGCGATTGATGGTTACTGTATATTGTATTTCTTCCATTTGCGAATAATCGCTCCAACAGTTGTCTCCTCAAGCTTCTTGCTGATGGTCTTGTATCCCATTCCAGCCTTGTGCAGGTCTACAATCTTGTCCCTGACATCCTTTGGCAGCTCTTTGGTCTTGCTTGTGGTGGTGCCCAAGAAAGAGATTCTGTGTACAGGTGTCTTTTGGGAGCCAGAATTATTGTAGGTTGGTGGGGGATCGAATACATATTTTACTCACTGAACTGCAACTCAATGTATAACATTTTTATTGTGTTTTTTGGGGGATTTTTGGTTGATATTTTGTCTCTATCACTTAAGATACACCTATGATAAAAATTTATAGACCCTTCATTTCTTTGTAAGTGGGCAAACTAACAAAATTTGCAGGGGATCAAATAATTATATTCCCCACTGTGGATGTATATATATTTTTTTTTAAGCAGAGCCCTAGAGAAAAAAAAAATGGTTGTTGCACTTTTTATGTAGCAAGATCTGCACTGTGGTTTATCAAATGCAAATTTTCACAAAAAAATACACTTTAATAAATTTTAGCAAACACAATATAATACCCTATTTTTTGGCAAAATACAAAAGACGATGTTGAGTAAATAGATACCTAACATGTCATGCTTTGAATAGCCCAATATTGAATAAGCCCATGGATGACGCTTTATAAGCCTTTACAGGTTACTGATTTAGAGTTACACATGAGCCCTGGCACTAAAAATATTGCTCTCACTCTGACATTCGCAACAATACACCTCACGTGTGGTGCGATCACCATCCACATATGAGTATGGGACCTATGTTGCTCATTCAAGTTTGCGTGTGAGCACTGGGGGATGGGGGTGGTTTCATTTTTTTTTTAGATTATTTGTTTTATTTAAATTTTGCACTGTATCTTTAGATTGTTTTATTGAACTTAATTGCTATCACAAGGGATGAACAATATCCCTTGTGATAGCACGGACCGTGACAGGCCCTCTCTATGGAGAGATCTGGGGTTTATTAGACCCTAGATCTCTCCTTTTGCATCCAAAGCATCTAATCAAACTGAGATTGGTTTGATCAGATGTTTTATAAACCAGTAACAACTTTTAATCAAACAAACTGAAACTGACTAAATTCTTGTCGCTTCTGGTTTCTGACATAACGGGGAGGAACAACAGAAGTTCCTCCCACTCTTCCTAGTGCTGCAACCAGCTACACCAGTACCAGGCTTCGTGGTGGGACAGGAGAGCCTCGGGGGTGTCAGAAGGGGGGGTGGGGCTTTTTCCACCACCTGTAAAAGTGATCAAGCGGCTAATCGCTGCTTGGATCACTTTTACATGAAAGCCCATTGCCTGCTCTAAATAAAATATATCTCGATCATTACTGCAGCAATGACTGAGATATCACTGCTCTTGTCTGGGGACGTACAGTATATTCATACTGCATGCAGGGTTTTTCTGTTTTGGATTCAGTTTTATATATAAATTAACATTTCTCCAGGAAAATAAAAACTTTCCTAGAATTTGTACATCAATATATTTTTATTTTAAATGCTTAAAATCTGAAAAAAAGGAATCTGTTTCTCCCCACTATCTATGATGTAGTTATTCTCTCCCAGTGGTCTGAGTAATTGACACTATAAAGTATTTCTCCTTCCTCTGTGCACTAGCGTATCAAATGATGATGCATTTATTGTGCCTGCAAACAGAAATACACAATTTTGTATTTTTTTTTTCATTTTTGTACTATGTTTTATATGCTCCTTGGAATTTACAATCTAAGAGATTGACACTCCTGAATGTGTTGGTTTCAAAAAGAGTTTCATTCTGTTATTCCTCTTGATCAGAGCAGCACAAGTCCACTCAGTATAAAAATACATATAGATGACATGCATAGTGGATAATCCTAAAGTGATAGTGCCTTAATGGGTGCCATGATGTAAACCCATAATGCACCTCTATATTGCTGTGTGCACTCTATATTTATAGTGCAAAGACATATACAGATGTGCACGTGCTTATAGTAAACAAATAAAATATAAATTAAAGTCTTTCAAAATAAATGTGCAAGTGAATTTTCTGTTCCTTCTTTCCGAGTGCTAGTTGGTCTCCCTATATGCTCACCTCTATATTTGCCTGAATAAATCCAGGCAAATACGCTTTTTATCCTTCCAGGATAGATGAAATGGGATGATGCCCTTGCTCTAGCCGTCCCAGAAGGTGGACATGCATAAAGATGGATCCTCCTGTTATTTCCTTTGTCTCCCTGTGTATCAATGAGTACACCGACCAGCTCTCTTGGGATCTCCCAATTGCCCTCCTGGAGTTGTTTCCTCGTTCACTCCTCCTTATGCCAGCTCGTGAGGTGTTTGGTCAAAAAGAAAAAGCAGACCATAGTGTCTTATCCTTGTACACAAAGTGGATTTATTTCTGCCAATTTAAGGTATTGCTCGATGGCATACAGCTCATATGTGATCCAAACAAGCATAGATGACAATCAACAGGTAAAAAGAAACCACTCTGCAGCTGCCCCTGCAGTGCTGTCTGCCTGCGCTTGTGCTCGGATCAGCTCGCTTCTCCAATGCAATGTCGTGACGTCAGAGCCCCTCCCCTATGCGTTGCGTCACAGGGTCACGTGACTTCATCAGGGGGAATTTGATTGGATCCATTGCATTGGAGAAGCGAGCTGATCCGAGCACAAGCGCAGGCAGACAGCACTGCAGGGGCAGCTGCAGAGTGGTTTCTTTTTACCTGTTGATTGCCATCTATGCTTGTTTGGATCACATATGAGCTGTATGCCATCGAGCAATACCTTAAATTGGCAGAAATAAATCCACTTTGTGTACAAGGATAAGACACTATGGTCTGCTTTTTCTTTTTGACCAAACACCTCACGAGCTGGCATAAGGAGGAGTGAACGAGGAAACAACTCCAGGAGGGCAATTGGGAGATCCCAAGAGAGCTGGTCGGTGTACTCATTGATACACAGGGAGACAAAGGAAATAACAGGAGGATCCATCTTTATGCATGTCCACCTTCTGGGACGGCTAGAGCAAGGGCATCATCCCATTTCATCTATCCTGGAAGGATAAAAAGCGTATTTGCCTGGATTTATTCAGGCAAATATAGAGGTGAGCATATAGGGAGACCAACTAGCACTCGGAAAGAAGGAACAGAAAATTCACTTGCACATTTATTTTGAAAGACTTTAATTTATATTTTATTTGTTTACTATAAGCACGTCCACATCTGTATATGTCTTTGCACTATAAATATAGAGTGCACACAGCAATATAGAGGTGCATTATGGGTTTACACCATGGCACCCATTAAGGCACTATCACTTTAGGATTATCCACTATGCATGTCATCTATATGTATTTTTATATATGTGTAGTCTTATAATCACAATTCATTATTGTTGACATTGAAATTGATATTGATATTTTCTTTAGAAGTATAAATTGAATATATAATTATATAGGAGCGCGGCGCAATCCATCCTTTACCATTCATACACACTAGCAAGTGAGTCAGTGTAAGTGCCAGCGCACCCCATACACTTTAAGATTTTATTCTATGTTGTTTATTGAACACCTCGATTCATAATAGCTCACAAGTATTCACTATAAATAAACAAAGTCCACTCAGCACTTTGTTTAACTACCTCCCACCCGCCATATAGTAATATGACGGATGCAAGGTGGTTCTCTCGTTCTGGGAGGACATCATATGACGTCCTCCCATTCTCACCGCGCATGCGCGGCTCAGGGAGCGTGCAGCGCGGCGATCGGTGGTGCGCTGTGTCCCCCGGACACAAAGGATCACGGAAAGAGCCGAAGATGTCGGCTCGGTCATGTGATCAGCTGTGTCCAATCACAGCTGATCACATGTAAACAGGGAAATGCCGGTTATCGGCATTTCTCTCCTCTCGAGCTGTCACGCTGACAGCTCAAGCGGAGAGGAGATTCGGTAATCGGCTTTCCACGGAGGGGACATGTATGATTAGTGTAGCCCCAGCAGTGCCACCTGTCAGTGTCCATCAGTGCCTTGCGTCAATGCTCATCAGTGCCTCGTGCCAGTGCCACATCAATGCCACATATCAGTGCCTACCAGTGCACATCAATGCCACATATCAGTGCCCATGTGAGCTGCCTTTCAGTGTCACCCATCAGTGCCAGTGCCACCTATCAATGCCAATGAGTGCCACCTATCAGTGCGCATCAGTGCCACCTGTCAGTGCCATGTATCAGTGCTGCCTTTCAGTGCCCATGAGTGATGCCTGTCAATGCCTATCAGTGCCACCTACCAGTGCCTCCTCATCAGTGCCACCTGTCAGTGTCCATCAGTGCAGCCTATTAGTGCCCATCACTGCAGCCTCATTAGCGCACATTAGTAAAGAAGAAAAATCACTTATTTACAAAATTTTATAACAAAAACCAAGAAAAAAACTTTTTTTTCCCAAATTTTCAGTGGTTTTTGGTTTGTTTAAGAAAAAATAAAAAACCCAGAGGTGATTAAATACCACAAAAATAAAGCTCTACCTGTCACAAAAATATGATAAAAATGTCATATGGGTACAGTGTTGTTTGACCGCGCAATTGTCATTCAAAGTGCGACAGCGATGAAAGCTGGAAATTGGCCTGGGCAGGAAGGGGGTATAAGTGCCCTGTAGGCTTGTGTTTAAATGCAAATGATGGGTGGTGTTAAAGTGTTACTAAACCCAGGACCCTGCATTCACGCTATCTGGTCTCCCACAGTACACAGAACATGGAAGTACAATTATTTTAGTAAATTAAACTGATAAATACTTTTTCTCATCAGCAGTTAGAGCAATCTTGTGACTTCTATCAGTCTCCAGCTGAACACATTTTAAAGCTTGTAGGAAGAGTTTTCATTCTGCTCTAGGAAGATGCAGGACCCCAGACCTTTGTCTGGACAGTGCTGATTGGCCCTGTGTTGATCACATGAACTCTCCCAAGAAAAAAAAAAACCTCTCTAGCAATACATACCAAACTGAGCATGTGCAGAGTGACTCCACACGGTATGTCCTATCAGGAGATAAGAGGGGGCACTGGAAGAAGAGGAGGATCAGAAGTAAGGATCAAACAGCATTTTTAGACAATGCAGAAGATTAACCCCTTAGGTTGCACAGTGAGTATAACAAGCATGCTTTACTGCATATACAGACTGATTTTACTGTGGGTTTAGTAACACTTTAAAATAAGAAGCTGTCTGCTGTATGTTATTATATGAAAAATATCCAAAGTATTTCCCAAACTGTGTACATAGGGAGAAATCACACACATACTCAATGGTAGTCTGAACGATTTCTCAGTTTATTCTTCAATCGAGAAAGATTTTTCTTCAGCTAAGAGATAAGGATAGATCATGTCAATTTGCTATCTAGCAGCCAAGGTGAGTCCTGACCTTATGAATGTTATCTCTATGTTTTCCCATGAGTGCATACTGTAGCTGAAGCAAAGAACACTTTAAGGGATATCCCTACATGTATAACAAATATTAAAATTGAGTCTCCAAAGCATAACTGAGTGAGACCCACTTTCTCAGTGGCCATAAGTAATCAATCATAGGGAAGTGCTTTGCATATAATCAAGACATTCAGACATTACCCCCTTTTTCTAAAAGAACTGTCTCCTTATGTATAAGAACAGCAACAAAGGGAAGTGGCAGTAAACCCTATCAACCTGTTAGAAGTCTAGCTCAGAGATTAAAATTTGAAAACATCTGATTGTTTGTTATTGACACTATCATTTTAGCAATTAAATGGGGAGGTAAGGTTCCAAGAAACAGACAAGAAACCGGCCTGACTGTTGTGTACATGAGGTTTTCAAGCCAAAAATATGCCAATTAGTTAAATATGTATTGCTTTTATTATGGAACATTTCTTCTGTTGATAGTACTAGACTACCCATGTCAGACTTCACTCGGTAGATAATTACAGGAAAATAAACATTTGCTTCACATTTCAGGTGTTTTACCTAATAGCTAATTTTACAGTCCTAAATGGGAAAAAGAAGAAATGACCCTAATGAAACCAAGGGTCAAAGTATATATACACATAGGAGGATGCTCTGTATGGGAAGAGCAAATGTCTCTCAGATAAGCATGCCATGACATGTTAAATATTAATCTTTGTAGAGAAGCATTGCAGGTGATCTATAAATAGGTAAAGGTGATCTATAAATAAGTATACTTATCAAAAGGTGCATCTTTGCTATGAATAAATCAAATATCAAGATTTCCATAAGGCACTATGAGCATATAAATTTAAAAAATACACCATGCATACTGATTACATGGGCTTTTTTTACAGAGGAAAACCAATATTGAGCATTGTTTAGTTTTTAATATATTTCAAGCAAAAGAAGACTAAGTATACCCGTACATAGGCGAATGACTAACTGACAATGGTGGACTTTTGGTGTCACTGAACGCGCTGTGCACAGTGCTGGAAACCCCCACAATCCTTTTCTTAGTTTTGCCTATAGCAGAAAAAAGAATGGCTTTTGACCATAAAGAGATTTCCAAATACATTTTTACCCTTCTGAAGATGATTTAGGGTTTCTGTAAGTGAGTAGACCTCCTATTAACCACTTGCCCACTTCTCTATTCATGGGCAGGCCATTTTTTGCGATGTGGTGCTGCATTACTTTAACTGACAATTGCACAGTCATGCAACATTGTACATAACATTTTTCCCCACAAATAGAGCTTTCTTTTTGTGGTATTTGATCATCTCTGCATATTCGATTTTTTGCACTATAAACAAAAAAGCCCAAAATTCAAAAAAAATATGTATTTTTTTACATTTTGCTATAAAACATAACCAATAAAAAAAATAAAATATCTTCATAAATTTCGGCAAAAATGTATTCTGCTATATGTGTTTGGTACAAAAAAAAATCCTAATAAGTGTATATTAATTGGTTTACTTGCAAGTTATGGTGGTATATATACTGGAATTTTTAGTTGTTTTTATACTAGTAATGGCAGCGATCAGAGACTTATAGTGGGACTGCAGCGGGCATTCTGACACTAACTGACACTGGGTGGGAACTGACTAACTGCCACTGACATCTCCAGTGACACTAATACAGTGATCAGTGCTAATAAATTGCACTGACACTGGGCAGGAGGGAGTTAACATCTGGGGCGATCAAAGGGTTAAAAAGGGTAATCAAAGGATTAATATGTATCTAACTATTGTGTGGGTGCAAATGTGCTGCTTTTACTCACATGTGATGTGTCTTCTCTCCTTGGAATGAAAAGGTTCCAGGGAGAGAAGATCCAGCTAGATTATGTGCCTGTGTTCACATTCTCCATTTGTTGCAGGAGATCAGCAGAGTCCTGGCCAAAAATCATTGGCTGGGACTTGCTGACACACATGTCCTGCAGTGAATGATGGCGAGGGTCAGCAGGGGAGCCCGTGCATGTGCGTTCCAAACCCAGAAAAACACAGCGACATATGGGTACGTCGCAGGTCCTGTAGTTGCCAGTACATTGTGGGTGGGCGGTGTTTAAGTGGTTAATAACAATAGGTAACCTAACATTTACTTGTTATCATCTCGGTCAACATATTGCCTGTATGGTGGTTAGCATACTGACCGTACAGTTCTTTGAACCTGTGTCCATCTCCCAGCAAGATCTCTATAAAAATGCAGTTTGTATGTTCTCCATGTATTTTTGGGTTTCCTACCACAACCTTAAAAAGCATTGACACTAATGCAGGCCATAGATGGGGAGAAAAAACGGCAGATTTTTCTTTTAAAAAACGAAAATTTCGGTCGTTCAAGCGGCCGACGTTACCATCAATGGTAAAAAAAATCGGCCGATTTTCATCCCTTCTACAGCTGGCAAAAAGTGTCCCTGCAGAGAGCTCCGCTATTTCTGACAGTTCTCTGACAGTTCCTTCACATTTACAGTGGTTGAAACATTGTATCTATTTGTTTCCATTTAGGATACAGATGTTTTTATTCGGAAACAAATAGATACAATGTTTCAACCGCTGTAAATGTGAAGGAACTGTCAGAGAACTGTCAGAAATAACGGAGCTCTCTGCAGAGATACTTTTTGCTGAACTGGAATTCTTCTTATTTTCATCCTACTTCTTCTTCTTCTTCTTCTTCTTCATCCTCATCCTCTTCTTCTTCATCATCCTCATCCTCTTCTTCTTCTTCTTCTTCATCCTCATCCTCTTCTTCTTCTTCTTCTTCATCCTCTTCTTCTTCTTCATCCTCATCCTCTTCTTCTTCTTCTTCTTCTTCATCCTCATCCTCATCTCTTCTTCTTCTTCATCTTCTTCATCCTCATCCTCTTCTTCTTCATCCTCATCCTCTTCTTCTTCATCATCCTCATCCTCTTCTTCTTCATCCTCATCCTCTTCTTCTTCTTCTTCTTCTTCTTCTTCTTCATCTTCTTCTTCTTCATCTTCTTCTTCTTCTTCATCTTCCTCATCCTCTTCTTCTTCCTCATCCTCTTCTTCATCCTCATCCTCATCTTCTTCTTCTTCCTCATCCTCTTCTTCTTCTTCTTCTTCTTCTTCATCCTCATCCTCTTCTTCTTCATCATCCTCATCCTCTTCTTCTTCTTCATCCTCATCCTCATCCTCTTCTTCTTCTTCTTCTTCTTCTTCATCCTCATCTTCTTCATCCTCATCCTCTTCTTCTTTTTCCTCATCCTTTTCTTCATCCTCATCTTCTTCTTCCTCATCCTCTTCTTCATCCTCATCTTCTTCTTCCTCTTCTTCATCCTCTTTTTCATCCTCTTCTTCATCCTCTTCCTCTTCTTCTTTTTCTTCTTTTTGTCTTCCTCTTGCAGGTCACTGCTCATGCGCAGATTCTTTATCGGTAAAAAATCGGCCGATTGGCCCATTAATGCCGTGAAAATCGGCCGATCGGCCGATTTTTTTCCAACTTTACCAAAAAAAAAAACGGCCAAAATCCCGAAAAACGGCCGACCAAATCGCCCACTAACGATCCGAAAATCGGCCGATTTTATTTTCGGCCGACAAATCGGCCGATTTTCGACCCATCTATGGCCTGCATAACGCCCCTTTTACATGGGCTTTCTGATTAGGTCACCTGTCGGTTTTTAGATGGGCCTGATCAGGAGCTTCATGCAGGTCTATGAGCAGGCAAATGTAAATGGACTTTTCTCCATTTGTCCTTCCAGGTCCAAAAAAAATATGATTAGAAAATGACTGCATTATGTTCCATTTTTCTGTACCTAAATGTGATGGATCATAGGTAGCCTGATGTAAACATACACAAGTTCATTTACATCTAGCAGCCCATACATCCAACACAGGTCTGCCACAGTCCACTGTCAAAATGCAGACAAAAAAATTAATGGCCACAGATGTCTCAGAAGTGCCATTCTGCTTCAGTTCAGGAGGGGATCTACTCACGGTTTCCTACTAAACGCAGGGGAGCGTGCCTGTGTGAAAGGACTCTAAACTGATTTCTACCTAAATTGAAAGGCTGAAGCAGGGCAGATCTGTCTCAGATGCAACCAAGCAGATCCTGATGCAGGATAGAGCCTGATCAAAGATGGTCCTTCTGGTGAAAAAAATCAGTTGGCATTGCCAATAGAGTACTGTCTTGTCTCTGAGAGACTAACAGATGACGGCAGGGGCAGGGACAAAGCTAAGTTTACCTGAAGTTCTTTAACCACTTGCTGACCGCACTATAGCCGAATGACAGTTACAGCGCAGTCATCCAGTCTTGGAAGGGTGTTATATGACGTCCTCCCAGAACCGCGTGCTCGCTGTGGTGCACACCCAGTGTTCTCTGTGTCCTTCAGACACAGCTGATCACATATCACGTTAAAGGGCCAATCAAGGCAGCCGTGTACCACGTGATCAGCTGTGTCCAACCACAGCTGATCATGATGTAAGCACACTTGCCGGTTATAAGCAGTATTTTCCTCATGCTGTCACAGCGTGAGGAAAGTACTGCTGATAGGCAGAAAATGTGAAAGGTGACATCTACACTGATAATTAGGACACTGATTACTGCCCTGATTATCAGTGCAGCCCCAACAGTGCCCATCAGTGCTGCCTATCAATGCTAATCAGTGCCCAGCAGTGCTACCAGTCAGTGCCCAGCAGTGTTGCTATTCAGTGCCACCTATCAGCACCCTTTAGGCTACGTTCACACTAGCTTTGTCAGCAGGCGTCAGACAGGCATTTGGGAAGTGTTTTTAATGCTTCTCAAATGCCTATGAAAATACTGCACATGGCAGCAAATGGTGCTGTTCACACTGAAGCGATAGCGTCGCATCACATCGCAGCAAAACTGATGCCTCATGTCCAGTCAGGAAGAGTTGAAGCCTCCCATTCAAGTCTATGGTGCCACTCCTCAAACACCTGGCAGGCATTTGCGAGACGTTTGCAGAGCGTTAATACTATTTAACTTCATTATAGGTGTTTGTGGTGCGGTTTTAACGCTTGGCAAACGCCTATCAAACGCCTCAAAACCGCACACATAGGGCATTTGGGGAGCGTTTGAGGAGTGTTAAAAATGCTTCCCAAATGCTTGTCTACTACCTGTCAAATGCTATAGGGGCATTTGGCAAGAGTTAGAAATAATCAAGTGTGAACAAGCCCTTAGTGCTGCCTATTACAGCCCATCAGTGCCGCCTATCAGTGCCTCCTAATCAATGCCCACCAGTGTTGCCTCATCAGTGCAGTCTCATCAGTGCCCATTCGTGCAGCCTATCAGTGCCCATCAGTGCAACCTCATCAATACACATCAGTGAAAGAGAAAAATGACCTGTTTGCTAAAATTTTATAATAGAAACTAAGAAAAAATATTTTTTTCTAAATTTTCTGTCTTTTTGCCTTTGTTTAACAAAAAATAAAGCACCCAGTGGTGATTAAACACCACCAAAAGACAGCTTGATTTGTGTGAAAAAAAATTCTAAAAATATGGGTACAGTGTTGCATGACTGCGTAATTGTCATTCAAAGTGCAACAGTGCTGAAAACTGAAACTTGGCCTGGGCAGGAAGGGGGTAAACGTGCCCGGTAGGCAAGTGGTTAAACAAAATGTTTTGTGATTATATTTTTTCCCACAAAGTAAATGGATGTGCATTTTGAGCTTGTTTACACTATGTGCAGTGCCTGGCATTTTACTGCATTGGATAAACGCCAGTCACTGAAAGAGCACATAGAAAACAATGTGCAGTGTGGAACAGTGTGGAAAAAATGCAGACACACTGGATAGCATTGCATGTCACTTCACTGCAGAGCAACACATATACTCCACCAATACTGGTGGAGAAATGAACGAAGTGTCACCCTGTGACACTTTAAATAAAGTTAAAAAAAGAAGAAAGTACACAATACAATGCTCTTAAAAATGCATCATATCGCCCCCTGCTGGAGCTCACACTAGCAGCTGGCTGCTTGGTAAAATGCTGCTTTTTTACTGTGCAGACTAGTATGAACAGGACCCTTATGTATAGATGTCTTTCAAAGAACTGATGTACTTTGTCAACTATCTTCAGTATACACACTGCCTGAGCTAGCCGATTGAACAAAATTTGAATACAGTTTATCTCTGTGAGAGTTTTGAAATTTTGAATGTAATATCCTTTCAGCAAAACAAAAAAAGACGAGAGGGGTTTGTGCAAACAGCATGTGTCAAGTGAACCTCTGACCTGTCCAATGTGGGTTAAATCATATTGCATTATTGCTTTGTTCGTTTTTGGAATTGTATATTTTTTTTACATGTGACACCTCTGAAAACAATGTCACATTTCTGTTTCCTCTGCAGTCCCCAGAGTTAGAGCCGCCACAATGTATGAGCAAAGAGGAATTCATTGAGAGAACATACGCGGCCGTGGGGCACGGACTGAAAGAGGAATACGGCGATTTATTTGATAAGATAGATGTGAGTCGCGAAGGTTTCATTGATTGGGACAAATTAACATCCTTCATGCTGCTTGAGCTTTACGAGAAAGATGAACGAGTGAAATCATCAGTAATTCCCCAGTGGAGGGATATTCGCAGCCTCCCATTAATTCACAAGGAAAACATCCAAAAAGTAGTTTATTTGAAAGGTTCTTGCCGCTACGTAACTTTGAGCAAAGATGGATTACTGGGAGTCTGGGGAGAGAATTTAAAACTACAAAGAAGCCTGCGGATTTGCACTGATACTGTCAAGCTGAAAGATTTATGGGCGACGGGCTTGGTGTTTCTGGCCAATGTAAACAAGGTAAATATGGATGTAAATATAAGTAATGCATATATCAATATGCAGAAGGTGGGGAGCCATTGTCTGCCTTATTAATTCTGTCTGTCATATTGCTACAGCATGGCGAGGGGTGTTCTACACTGGCACGGCATAAGATCAGGATCAGGAAATGTAATTGCCAGTCACTGTACAAAGGCTAAATAAATGAGCAATGTCAACGAGTAATGAAAGGCATAAATCTAATAAAATAAATAAAATCCGTACATCCATTATATGGTGCTATGGAAAGGAATACCAATAGGGTTAGTAAACAGAGTACAAATGTGATACGTCCCAACAATTCATTCATACTTTACTACAAAAGCACACTTATCATAACTGGAAAAGGACAGTACGAGTGTTGCCCATTGGAACCAACCGGATTCTTGTGTCATTTGGCTGTTAATTGTAGAGGTACACATAGAGGTAAAAACTGCAGTTTTGCTTAAAGTGCAAAACAATACCCTTCAAATTTACCAAACTTTAGGCTCGTTCACACCGTATGCCTTCACCTGCATGTTTCCACATTGGATAAAGAGGTCAGTGCTAGGAAACTTAGAAAACAATTGCTTTCTGTGTCCCTCTTTTCAACCAACAACACTGCTGTGATGTGCAGTGTGGAAAAATTCAGCATGTCTGCATTTTTACGCACCAAACTAACACCAAGGGGTTTATTTACTAAAGCAAATTCAGGCTAATTTCTGCATAGAAACCAATCAGCTTCCAGGTTTTATTGCCAAAGTTTAATTGAACAAGCTGAGGTTAGAAGCCGATTGGTTTCTGTGCAGAAGTGAGTCTAATTTTGCACTCTCCAGCTTTTGTAAATAAACCCCCAAATGTCGCCACATGGCAGTGCAATGCACCATGCTGCTGTGCAGCAACATAAATAAAGTTTGAAAAAGAAAAGAAAAAAAACAGGCAGTGTGATGTGCTAAAACACACATGACACTGCTCCCTGTCAAGGCAGACACTGCACTAGCCTGCATAATAAAACACTGCCTTCTACCTTGCTGGCTATGTGTAAACTTAGCCTATCTTTTCTGAAAAAAAGAATTGTATGTTTCTCTATGTTGTTACAAGACTGCTTTCTGAATGGGAGGGTCTTGTTCATTATAATCACCTGATGCAGTTTCAGTGTTCTAATGAGGAAAATCGCAGTGTCTGCATCCCTTTAAAAGTAATGAAGCATCTCACCAAAATTGAAAAACCTAAAATTTTACTTGTATCAGATGTCTAAGAAAATCAGTGAACCAAGCACACAATCAGGAAATGACATTCCTGGGGCTGTTCTGTACATCAGCTGTTTACAGAATGCCTCCAGGTTGCCATGTTGCACTGAATTTTCGACAGTTTTAGAAAATTACAGCACCTTCAGATTGAAATCAGAGTGGAATTTTTAAAGCTGGACTCAAAGGATGATATATTTTTCAATTGTAAGTATTATTTTTTTTCAACAGAAGTGGAAAGTGGATTTCACTTTCAAGCTGCAATTCATATATTTACGTGTACTCCTACTATTGAAGCTGAACTCCATGAAACCTCAAAATCCACCATGGAGTGGGGCCTGCACCTGCAATGGTAGACTGCTATTTTATGTCTAGAGTACTTGGTAAAGCACTTTTACTTACCTGATTTTCTGCTTCTGCACACACCTCTGTGCTGCTACACCAGTCCCTGCAGGCTCTTTTCCCCACCATATTCCAGTGGTCTAAGGTCCTCTGATGTCATCAGGATTGACACAAGGACCATTGCCTGGAAGCTGAAGAACAGTCCACCCACTGTAGCATGGAGTTCACTTCCGGTGGGGGTGCAGAGCATCAGGTAAGTGAAATGGCTGGATATAAATGAGCAGTTAAGAATAGGAGTGTGGGTGCAGCCCCCTACAAAGTAGGATTTTTATGTTTCCTGGAGTTTGGCTTTAACAGGCAATCACCAGTAGCTGAAAACGCAATCAGCAATCACTCAATGCAACAACAATCAACAACATTTTTCCAAAGAAACAAACCCATGGCCTGAGTTTAATTCCCTATTAGCTGCCATCTTCAGGTACTACTTTATTTTATTATTATTATTATTATTATTATTATTATTATTATACAGGATTTATATAGCGTCAACAGTTAGCACAGCACTTTACTACTGTGACCTTTTTTTAAAGGGCTACTTCACTTTTGGTCTGCAGAGTCCCAGATCTGGGATCATGGTATCCTCCAAAGCTAGAAAATAGGTTTATTGTACTTATCAGGAAAAAAAGTGTGTGGTACTATTGTTCCTCATTTTCCTATACTATTTGATGCACAAGTGGCTTAGAACAAATGTCTAGGCAGGTCATATAGTAACTCTTTTTTCTGAACAAAATTCATATATAACAACAGAAAGAAAAAAAAACACAATGGAGTTGTCTAAAGCAACCAATGAGATAATAAAGCATAACTCCAGGCAAAAACTTGTTTACATGTCCTTGTTGCTGATTTCCTACCCTCGCTGAATATGTCATCCATTAGTAGTTGCTCTGAAATAGCCTATTCACTTTCAAATCAAACCGTTAATTCTATTTGGTTTCCTGTTTGTAAGACCAGTAGCTGCTATGCCTTCTATTCCACAAGCCACTGGTCTTGGCACATCCCTTCTGTAGTCTTTCTCCAGAAAGCAGTGATGTAATTCAGTCCCAATTGCTGTGGTGGGCGAACCGAGACTCTCAGACACATTCAACATGTACAGTCCTAGGTTCCTGTGGTTGGTGGGAACTGTAGTTTTTTTTTACTGGAGAGGGGAAATGAAAATGATACCATGGGCAGCACTCAGTGCTTTTCACACTATAAAAACATGAAGTGTTAGCCCAAATAGTGATTAAACATATGATAGACCACATATGATTGTGGATCAGTAAAATGTCAGCGTAAGTTCATCAGATGTGCTGAATATGCATACAGTCTCCAATATGTAAGGAACCAAAAGTAGTGACTTTCAGAAATGATAAGAGATAGCCAAGTAATGCACTAACCAGATAGCGCATATTAAAGCGCATGGGGCATTTAAGACCTGCCCTGGTGCTCAGCCACTGTATCACTGGAACAAGGAGGTGTCATCTGTAGGGTGACCACTAGATGTCATCTGTCCGGATAGAAGCTGTATCCAGCCACTGTATTAATGGATCAGGCGGATGTCATCTATAGGACGACCACTAGATGTCATCTGTTCCAGGAGGAGCTGTATCACGGATCCAGGGATGTCACTTGCAGATGTGTTCTTTGCTAGGCTCAGCCCCAGGACCTTCAGGATTACAGGCTCCCCAAAAATAAAGAGCCCGTGGAAAAAGGCCTCAAATAGTGTGATAACGTTTATTAAAGTTGATAAGTAATCAGAAAAGAACTTACTAACAAAGGTTCAGCTGCTCATAAACGGCCAGACCAGAGGTACATGTACAAAGGATATATAGGGAAGTGCCAAGCTATTTATATCCTTTGTACATGTACCTCTGGTCTGGCCGTTTATGAGCAGCTGAACCTTTGTTAGTAAGTTCTTTTCTGATTACTTATCAACTTTAATAAACGTTATAACACTATTTTGAGGCCTTTTTCCACGGGCTCTTTATTTTTCTGGGGAGCCTGTAATCTTGAAGGTCCTGGGGCTGTGCCTAACAAGAACACATCTGCAGTGACGTCCCTGGATCCATGATACAGCTCCTCCTGGAACAGATGACATCTAGTGGTCGCCCTATAGATGACATTATTATTATTATTATTATTACTACGAGTTTATATAGCGCCAAAGGGTTTGCTCAGCGCTGTACAATAGGGGGGGGGGGACAATACATGGCACAGTACAACAAAGACAGACAGCGTACGAGGGGTAAGAGGGCCCTACTCTTACGAGCTATGACATCCGCCTGATCCATTAATACAGTGGCTGGACTCAGCTTCCATCCGGATAGATGACATCTAGTGGTCACCCTACAGATGACACCTCCTTGTTCCAGTGATACAGTGGCTGAGCACCAGGGGCAGGTCTTAAATGCCCCATGCGCTTTAATATGCGCTATCTGGTTAGTGCATTACTTGGCTATCTCTTATCATTTCTGAAAGTCACTACTTTTGGTTCCTTACATATTGGAGACTGTATGCATATTCAGCACATCTGATGAACTTACGCTGACATTTTACTGATCCACAATCATATGTGGTCTATCATATGTTTAATCACTATTTGGGTTAGTGCTGCACTTTCATTCTTTATCATTTACTCTGGAGGTTGCCGAGGTGCCTTTTTGTGCCAGCAGCTACCCTACTTACATCCATACACTGCGCTCGATTTTATATATAGATTTTAACAGTCATGGCCGAAATTGTTGGCACCCTTGATATTTCTCCAGGAAATCATGTATTTCTCACGAAACGTATTGCATTAACACATGTTTTGCTATACACATGTTTATTTCCCTTTGTGTGTATTGGGACAAAACAAAAAAAGGGAGGAAAGAAAGCAAATTCGACATAATTCACACAAACCTCCAAAAATGGGCTGGACAAAAGTATTGGCATTTCACAACTGCGGAGAATGTTACAAGCCTGTGATGCTCCTGTAAACTCACCTGGGGCAAGTAACAGGTGTGGGCAATATAGAAATCACACCTGAAAGCAGATAAAAAGGAAGACGTTCACTTAACCTTTGCATTGTGTGTCTGTCTGTGCACACTAAGCAATGGACAACAGAAAGAGGAGACGAGAACTGTCTGAGGACCTGAGAACCAAAATTGTGGCAAAATATCAACAATCTCAAGGTTATCCATCTCCAGAGAACTAGATTTGCCTTTGTCCACAGTGCGCAACATTATCAAGAAGTTTGCAACCCATGGCACTGTAGCTAATCTCCCTGGTCGTGGACGGATGAGGAAAATTGATGAAAGATTGCAACGCAGAATAGTCCGGATGGTGGATAAAGCAGCCCCAAACATGTTCCAAAGACATTCAAGCTGTCCTGCAGGCTCAGGGAGCATCAGTGTCAGCGCGAACTATCCGTCGACATTTAAATGAAATGAAACGCTATGGCAGGAGACCCAGGAGGACCCCACTGCTGACACAGAGACATAAAAAAGCAAGACTACAGTTTGCCAAAATGTACTGAGTAAGCCAAAAGCCTTCTGGGAAAACGTCTTGTGGACAGATGACCAAGATAGAGCTTTTCGGTAAAGCACATCATTCTACTGTTTACCGAAAACGGAATGAGGCCTACAAAGAACAAAACACAGTACCTACGGTAAAATATGGTGGAGGTTCAATGATGTTTTGGGGTTGTTTTGCTGCCTCTGGCACTGGGTGCCTTGACTGTGTGCAAGGCATCATGAAATCTGAGGATTACCAAAGGATTTTGGGTCGCACTGTAGGGCCCAGTGTCAGAAAGCTGGGTTTGCGTCCAAGATCCTGGGTCTTCCAGCAGGACAATGACCCCAAACATACGTCAAAAAGCACTCAGAAATGGATGGCAAAGAAGCGCTGGAGAGTTCTGAAGTGGCCAGCAATGAGCCCAGATCTAAATCCCATTGAACACCTGTGGAGAGATCTTAAAATTGCTGTTGGGAAAAGGTGTCCTTCCAATAAGAGAGACCTGGAGCTGTTTGCAAAGGAAGAGTGGTCCAAAATTCCGGGTGAGAGGTGTCAGAAGCTTATTGATGGTTTATAGGAAGCGACTGATTTCAGTTATGTTTTCCAAAGGGTGTGCAACCAAATATTAAGTTAAGGGTGCCAATACTTTTGTCCAGCCCATTTTTGGGGTTTTGTGTGACATTATGTCATATTTGCTTTTCTGCCTCTGTTTTTATATTTGTTCCAATACATACAAAGGGAATAAACATGTGTATAGCAAAACATGTGTTAATGCAATACCTTTTTTGTGTGAAATACTTGATTTTCAGGAAAAATATCAAGGGTGCCAACAATTTCGGCCATGACTGTATATAAGTTTATTTTATGAAAGTGTTAGCGTTGCGTCTCTTCAAAATTGAAGCCTTATGTCGAGTCAGAAGGAGTTTGAAGCCTTTCAAAACCTCCCATTCAAGTCTATGGTGATGCTCCTCAAACACACTGGCAGGGTTTGCAGGGCATTTGCCACGCAGTTGCGTAGCGTTAATAACATTACAGTTTATTTAGTTTGTGATGTGGTTTTAACGCTTGTCAAACGCTTTTAAAACGCTTCAAAACTGCACATAGGGCATTTGGGGGGCATTTGTAATGCAGGTAAAAAGCAGCCTAGCACCCATACTAAAGCTCATTAACGCCTGTCTTATGCCCATTAAAGCCTGTCTAATGTCCATATTAAGCTCATTAACACCTGTCTAATGCCCATTAAAGCCTGTCTAACGCCCATATTAAGCTCATTAACGCCTGTCTAATGTCCATATTAAGCTCATTAACGCCTGTCCAACGCCCATTAACTCCTGTCTAACGCCCATATTAAGCTCATTAACGCCTGTCTAATGCCCATTAACTCCTGTCTAACGCCTATACTAAAAGCTATAGGAGCCTTTGGTAAGAGTTAGAAATTTAGTCAAGTGTGAACAAGCCTCATCTAAGGGCAGCAGGCTCATTTAATGAGTGGGAGGTCTATACTAATAGACTTCAGCAGACACCCATGTTTGTGTGATCATGAAGGAAAAAACTGTCAACCATGTTGTATTTTACTGATGATAGATTATTGTTCCAAAGATACCAGTGGCAGTGTGTGCTGTATACAGAAAAGCCATACTATATTTGCTCTTATTTAGACTTAAAGGACAGAGACTAAAATGAGCTGTATGTGCAGATCCTGAATTAGCTTTAGACTGTCACACTGTACATTTCTTAGTATATGATCTCGGGCACTCCTTCCTAACTCCTTCCATTTCTTAGGTACATACACTGTAGCGGAAGCCTTAAATAGTTTGACTGGTGAAAATGTTAATACAGTATCCCATGACAGCTGGTCACTTCACCAAAAATCAGGAATTTTAGCACTTGCGGGTCCACTGAAACCAAGGAACAGCTAATCTAAACTATGATCATTTCCTTCAGCAGACATTATCAGACCAAGAGCCTAGACCAGTGGTCCTCAAACTGCGGCCCGGGGGTCAGATGCGGCCCTTTATCTGGCCCTTGGGGCACTATTCCTCCAACTGATATGAAACACTATTCTTCCAACTGACATCAATAATGGGGCACCATTTCTCCAACTGATGCCAACAATGGGGCACTTTTCCGCCAAATGATACCATGTTGTGCCTATGTGGTGATGTTTACAGATACCAGGAAAATTTCCACAGCTGCTGGCCACAGTCCGGCCCTCTTAAAGTCTGAAGAACAATAAACTGGCCCTTTGTTTAGAAAAATTGTAGACCCCTGGCCTAGATGTTTGAGGCTTGATGTGAACAAATTTATAAACATGTTAAATTTTCAAAAAGCATTATTTCTTTATATTATTTGGAACTGTTTATATACTGTAGCCTGAGTTGCCTATTACCAATGTAGAATTGATTCCCTGATTTGCAGTGCTAGACAATGATTGCATATTACTGCTCCTTCACAATGTAAATATATTAGATGGCTGATTCAATAGAAGCAATGCACTCCTACTGAGAGAGAGAAAAAAATAATTAAAGTGGTTGTAAAGCCTCACACACACCCAGTGAAGTGACTGGCATCAGGTGATACACAGAGATTAAACAAATCCTCCTACATAAGTTGTACCTGTTTATCTACAGCTGTTTTCCCTACATCCATTCAAAGTACAGAATCTACACAGGATCTCTCAGATTGGAAAAGCAGGGAGTGGAGACCTGAAGTTACTTCAGCGAGAAGAGCCTTGAGAGCTTATTGGAGGGAAGGGACACACCCCCTTCACACAGCACACAGTAACAGAGCTAAGGATGTCAATCACAGGCTGTGTCCTCCCCGTTACCGTTTTTCTCCTGCTGTCAGGAAAAATCATCAGAAGTGACTCATGCTTATAGCAGAGGAACAAGGCAGTGGACAGAAATGACAGTGCTCTGGACTGAGACAAACACACAGTATAGAGGGATATGCTTTGTTCATATTTCAAGTCTGAGGTTTACAACCACTTTATTAACAATAATTTATGCTCATGGAAAATAAACGATGGTTTCATTTTAAGTAAGCTTACCTGTCTTTGCTTACACCTTGCAGATTGCAGTTGCTTTTACCAGTAAGGAGATATGCTTCTATGATCTGAACTCAAAGCAGGACATATTTTGCCAGTATAAACTGCAAGGACTTCCTGGTACACCAATATCCATGGACTACTGGCATGACCATGAAGATGGTAACAATGCCATTCTGACAATTGGAGATGTTAACGGACAGGTAAAATTCTACAAAAATAGCATTGCAACCTAGAGCTTCACCTGTCACAGGGAGAAGCTATGTTTGGCAAGGTACCAGGGTCACTGTCTATCAGTTCCTTTTCTGTGATAACCACAGAAGCTTAGTGGTCAACACTTCTGCTTTGCAACACTGGGTCCTCACTTTATATTCCAACAAGGACACTGTTTGCATGTTCTCCCTGTGCTTGTGTGGATGGATTTTTTGGAGGTACTCAGGTTTTCTCCCACGCTCCAAAAACATGCTGATAGGCAACTTGCCTAGGTTCCTTTCTTGTGCTAACCAAAATGGCTTAGTGGTGAGCACTTCCAGCAGCACTGGGATCCTCAATTCAGACCCCGACCAAGACACTGTTTCATGTTCTCCATGTATTTGTGTGGATTTACTCTGCTTCTCTCTCACACTCCAGTGACATGCTGGTAGATTAATTGTCTGGGCTCCTATCTAAATTGATAATAATAATAGTCTATTTTCTCTAGCTTCACCTATATTTGTTATTAGAGATGTTCACGTTATTGTTACAGTATACTAACCACACCCTATCCACCCCTACATTCCTTAGACCAGTGTTTCTCAACCTTTTTCCAGCCAATTAAGGCACCCAATGAATTTATGCACAATCTCAAGGCACTCCATTCTAAAATGCAAAAAACTAAACTAATAGTTCTACATATTTTATCAGCATCCACACACGTAGAACACCCCAATATTAGAGGTGATTTATTCTTTCAGAGCAAATACACTTGTGCACATTGGTACTGACTAGTATTCCAGCATTTCTTCTTCCTCTTTTTCTCTCCTCCACACAGCTAATGTGACCCTAGTGCTGACAAAGAGAAGTGTTTATGTGTGTGTGTGTGGGGGGTTCAAACAAGGATGTTGTACAGGTTCCCGATGCTCTCCTTATCAACCAATGACGTCATCAGTTGTTAGGACACTGGTGGCTGGCCCGCACAGTGCCCATGGTTGTAGTGTTGCACAATGAAAACCTGTTGCTTTGTGTAACAAAAAGGAGGCTTGATCCACCCGCTGGCTTGTACACAATTTTGGACAATGTGGAGCTTTTTTTAGGCATTTTGCCAAGGCATCGCTGAAGAACCCAGAAGACACCCTAGAGTGCTTAAACACCCTGGTTGAAAAAGGCTGTCTTAATCAAAAGAGAAATTTTGTGTGATCTGGCCATTAACAGTTTGCTCAGAAAAGATTTTTATGTGTGTAGACCTCTCCACAATTCTAACCATTACCAACTATTGTCTTCCCCAAAAGAAGCTAGTGCCTGATCCACTGAGCCAAAATGCAAGTTTGTCTAATGTAAACTTGCTTGTAAGGAGATCTTTCCTTAGAAACACTGTTCAGTGGTCAGGCTGTGCACACATGATCACAGGCAGCTTTAGATTGCCCATATGCTATTTGGAAATTAAAAGTAAGATCCCTAGGCAATCCTTCTTTTATTCCAAATGTTCATCCATTATTCTCTGAAATAAAGGCAATGAAGATGATGCAATATAGCATAGGGTAACAGCTGATTGAATATAGTGAATTGACTGTCTCTAGGTGTACGACCAACCACCTTCTGTAGAGGTATTTTTATGCAGTACAAAATCACATACATTGCATCTTTTCTCTGTACAGAAGTTCGTATTTTCTCTGTACACAAGTTTTGTAAGAATAATTATTTTTAACAATTTTTTGCCAATCTAATTAGAAAAAAATGAATATCAAACTCATTATTTGTGATTATCTTATTATCTGTGATTACAGGTCCAGGCTATTTGTTTCACAACAGCTTTGATATCCTTGTTTGAGCGGCCTGCTAATTCCACAGAAGACCAACAGACGACTCTTTACATTGCTTGGAATGAGTTAGTTTCTGGTTTCCACAAATGCTGTAGTATATTAAAACACAAACTCCATGAAAGCAACTGGGTACGCCAAGGTAATGTATTTCTATATCTAAATTGTATATGTCTAGGCTGTTGCTGTACATTCTGCAAACCTGTATACTGTACTTTTAAATCTGAGAGTGTCCTGATATGAAAGGTGTATATATATATATATATATATATATATATATACTGTATACAGTGAGGAACAGAAGTATTTGAACACCCTGCGATTTTGCAAATTCTCCCACTTAGAAATCATGGAGGGGTCTGAAATTCACATTGTAGGTGCATTTCCACTCTAAGAGACAGAATTTAAAAAAGAATTCAGGAAATCACATTGTATGATTTTTAAAGAATTTATTTGTCTTGCACTGCTGAACATAAGTATTTGAACACCTAAGAAACAGCAAGAATTCTGTCTCTCAAAGACCTGTTATTGTGCCTTTAAAAAGTCCACCTCTACTCCACTCATTAATCTAACTTAGTAGCACCTGTCTGAGCTCTTTAAAGATGCCTGTCCACCCCACAGTCAGACGCCAACTACTACCATGGGCAAGACACCAGAGACAAAATTGTGGACCTCCACAAGGCTGGAAAGGGCTACGGGGCAATTGCCAAGCAGCTTGGTGAAAATTGATCAGCTGTTGGAGCAATTATTAGAAAATGGAAGAGGCTAAAGATGACTGTCAGTTTCCCTCGGACTGGGGCTCCATGCAACATTCATCTCAGATGTGGTTCCCTTTTCTGGATGTTAAAAGAGAAGTATGTGGTTTCCTTTTTTTTTTTTAAATTCATACTTACCTAGGTGGATGCAGCATCAGTCCGATGCTGCATCTGTCCCCCGCCAGCTCTAGGTGTGCGAACTCAGTGATTACATGACCAGTGGTCGCTGAGTTCTCACAGCTTCTATGAGCAGAGAGCAGTGACTGTTAGTCACCGCTGTCTGCTCCCCCATTCGTGCTCACTGGAATGCTGGACTGTGGAAGCGGGGGCAGCAGGTGGCTCAGGCTTTCAGCAGATCACTGAGGGGCTGAGCCAGGTGCCACTCCAGACTGGAGTGGAACCCGACTTTAAAGTTGAGATCTTTTTCCAGCTTGGACTGTTCGAGTGACATCAGCCAACAGCAGGTTCAGCCCGCTGTCAGTGGAAAATGGGTCACAAGCGTGCAGAACAAACTGCACTACTGTAATCCACAGAAGAGGTACAACCAAAACAGCTTTGGCTGTACTTCTCCTTTAAGAAATTATTATTATTATACAGGATTTATATAGCGCCAACAGTTTACACAGTGCTTTACAACGTGAGAGGCAGACAGTACAAATACAATTCAATTCAATACAGTAGGAAACAGAGGGCCCTGCATTTTAGACCCTACAATCTAAAATGATGGGCACCAGTCATTTTAGTAGATTTTAAAAAAGAGAAGAATTGCAGAAGGATACACTGGATCTCAAGCATTATGTTTGGCGTCAGCCTTTTCTAGATCTTTCTTCAACGTCTCTCTCAAAGTCTTAAGCTTTCCACACACTGTTAGTTTTTTTAGCTCAGCCACACAAACAACATGGATGAAAGAACCCCCCCAAGTTCAAACAACATGTGGCAGAGAACATGCACACTGTGATTAGAGATTTTTCCTGAGTTGGATTCTTTGCCCATACACTAAATGGAGATTGGTCATGTGAAGTTAGTAGTTAGTGAGTCATTTTTACTAACTGAATAGAGGAAACTCACTTTGTAATGTAAATGATAACTTAGCTTGGAGAATAAAGTGGAACTGTGTTACCCATAATAGTGTAATCCTGTGCAAGCAAAAGACCTGCTTTAATTAACTTTCCCTTTCAAATGATTGGATTTAAAGTGAACACCACTTTACCTTATCTACTAAGCAAAACAAACAGCTTCTACTCCTTTAGTAAATCAATCGCATTGTATTGTACGCAATACAGCTTTTATAACTTAATAACTTCTATAACTTATGATAAAAGTGTAATTATAAAATTATACAAAATGTAGAAAATCTCTTTTCGCAGAAGAGTGAGAAATTGTGATGGAGTTGTTTAGCTGTATTATCACAATTTAAAACTAATTGTTAAAGCAGAACCTCCCTGGAACCAAAATCTGCCTCCCATGTGGCTCTGCCCCCCTCAGTTGACAACACTATGATACCTGCGCAGATGTACCCATGGGCTCCCAGCAGAGCCCTTCAGCACGTCTGCGCACAGGCAGGTGCACGCCTCTGCGTGGTTGAGCAAAAATAGGAAAGTTTTCATGCGTCTCTGGTCGCAATCTTTTTAGGTGTGGAAAACTTGGTGTGTGCGCAGATGCCTGGGGGATCTGACACATGCACAGATGTGTTACAGGGCTCTCTCAGTACCTGAGCCCTGAGGGATATCTGTGCACACACATGGGGTGGAAAAAGTTCTCACCTAGGTGAAAATTGTGGAAGTGCTACTTTGCAGCACAAATAAAGCTTTTTTTAACATTCTTTATTGATATAAAACGTTTACAAGACATACAGATAACAATAAGACAGTTAGGTGGATGCCACTAGAAGAGACAATGAACCAGGTTCAGTCCAGTTACATATGAAATCAACTGCAACAGCAATACAGCATTGTGTCATGCACTGCAAAACTAAGCATATACTGTCTGCATCCAAATCATAAAAATAAAAAATAAAGATGAGAAGAGAAAAAAAGAGAAGAGAAACAGCAGAAGTCAAAGCAGGAATGGAGAATGGACTTCAAGCCACTGAGCGCAACAAGTAATCATATTCACTGGAACAAGTAAAGAGAGATCAATGGACCAATCTCTGGCAAAATTTATCCTCCTGGCTGCGAACCACCGCCATAATATTTTCCATTGAGTGTATGTCCTCAAACCGAGACAGCCACATGGTGATAGAAGGGGGAGCCTCCTGCTTCCAGAGAGCTGGTATACAAGCACGAGCAGCATTGATCAGATGCACTAAGAAGGAGTGTTTGAAACGTTTCCTAGAGAGATCGGAGTGGAGCAGCAGATACCCAGCAGGGTCATCCCCCAGATCAAACTCAGTCAGACATTTATTAAGATCCCTAACTTTCGCCCAAAAAGAGGTCCATTTTCTACAGGACCAAAATATATGTAAGAAGAAACCATGCTCCTCCTTACAATGCCAGCATACCTTTGTGGCCTCAGGGTAAATCTTGTGCAAGATGATCGGAACCCTATACCACCGCGTGAGCAATTTATATCCCAATTCCTGGTATTTACTCGACAGATGGGAATGATAGGCAAAATACAAGATATGGTCCCTCTGCTCGGTCGAGAAAGTCCTATTCCGCTCTTCCTCCCATTTTAGAGAAACAGTGACACAAATGTATCAGCCGGTTGGCTGAGCAACTTGTAGGCTAATGAGATTGCATGAGAGGAGGGAGCAGGGTTAACACAAAGATCCTCAAGAGGAGTACTAGGACCCATGTCCAACCCCCCTATGAGTCAGGGAAGACAAAAAATGAATGAGTTGCTGTAACCTCCAACTGTCTAAAAGTAGAACAAACATCCTCTGTATTTCCATCGGGGACTTCACTCGCGGCCTGGCCATAAAATCTCAAAGACAGAAGCTACCGCCAACAGGTAAAGACAGAAATCTCCCATCCGAAATCCCTGGCAGAAAACAAGGGTTACCCAGAACAGGATATAGGCGGGATATTGTGGATCGGACAAGTTGACCCACCGCACAACACCTCGCAACCCCTAGGGAAGCGCTCAGCAAAGAGTGAGTTTTGACGGCTGGAATTTTGTCCGGATCCAGCCACGAGAGACAGCCAAGAGGAACATCCAGGACACATTGCTCCATCTCTACCCATTGTCCAAGACCCCCATCCCTACACCAGGGAAGGATCCTAGCCAGATGTATCGCTTGATAATATCTAACTGGATCCGGTAACGCCATTCCTCCCTGCCTCTTGGGCAATAACAAGTAGGAATAAGAAATACACCCAAATGAAACGCAAAAAGACACCCAGTACTTTCCACAAAAATGACAGAGGGATTGCAATTGGGAGTGTTTGAAAAAGATATAAAAGGCGGGGCATGATATTCATCTTAAGTATTGCATTCCTGCCCATCCAAGAGTGGGCAAGATCAGCCCATTTGCGCAAATCCTCCGTGATAGCACTAAGGGCAGGAAGGAAATTGGCTTGCAACATTCGATCTAGAGTACAGGTAATCATGACACCCAAATAAGACAACGAGGAGGTAGCCCTCTGGAAAGGAAAGGAGGCACAGACAGTTCTAAATTTACACTTGGGCATAGAGACATTCAGAAACTCAGATTTCTGACTATTAATTTTGAAATTCGAAAGAGATCCATAACGATTCAGTTCCTCCAAGAGGTTGGGCAATGCAACCTCAGGGATTGTCACAAAGAACAAAAGGTCATCAGCAAAAGCTGCTACCTTATGTTCTGTCTGGCCCATAAGTACCCCCCTAACATTCTGATTCAGATGTACATGACACAAAAGGGGCTCTAGAGTCAAAATGAAGATCAGGGTCGACAAAGGACAACCCTGGCAAGTCCCATTAGACAAGGAGAAATATGCAAAGGTGACCTTATTAGTTCTGACGGCAGCTAAAGTGTGAGAATATACAGCATTGATCCAAGCAAGGAATCCAGGCCCCACACCTAGATATCTCAGTGTTTCCTTCATGAAAAGCCAGTCCACCCTGTCAAAAGCCTTCTACGCGTCCGCAGAAAGCAGGGAATGAGCCCAATGAATAGCATTCAGGACCCTAGTAGTATTGTCTTTAGCTTCCTTTGAGAGCATAAGGACTATCTCCTGAAGAAGAGGCAACAGCCAAAGAGAGAAGATCTTCATAAATATTTTCAGGTCCGCGTTCAAAAGTGAAATGGGTCTATAATTCTGACAATGGGTGGGATCCCTACCCTCCTTCGGGATGACAGTTATATGCGCCCGCAAAGAGTCCAAAGGCAGGGATTTTCCCTCAGGTAAAGAATTAAAGGCCGTCACAAATCTAGGCGTCAAGATGGGAGCAAACGCTTTATAAT